GAGGTGGGAAGGAGCCTGCTATCCTTTACGGTCTATTCGTACCCACCATTTTGTGAGTTACACTTTTGGCGTGGAAATGATGGTTGGTCATGCGAACAGTAAATCCCTGCGAAACAGCGTAACTAACAAAAGGGCGGGCACTCACGAATAGACCGTAGGGGATGACATAGTAGCTTGCGTCCACCGTGTACTGCCACTCCGAAGGGGATCGCCTGTTTAGGTAGACCGCCTATATATCCAACTCGCATGTCAGATGTATGCCAGTCAAGAGTCCTGGTCAAGTCGGTCAAACACAACTTGTTGTGCATTGTTCACTTGTAGCATTTTTCACTAATGGCGGCCGGTGAAATAATTCAAAGGAGATATTCACCGACTGTCACTGTAAAGGTTGTGTACGCAGTCAACATTCAACCAGTTTGTGGTAACTGTTCGATAGGTACCAAGCCATTCGGACGTCCATGGGAACGAGGAGCTGGATAAGCATGCGAAGTTTGCAGCGGCGAGCAGACAGAACAACAACCCGCTCATCATGTTGCTCACGTATCTCCGCCATGACACCCTACCCCTAAGTATCTCAGCACTCAAAGAAGTCCAACGCAAGGAAACGCATGCATGATGGGAACGTCTCTGACGTAAAACCCCATGGTACAATCGCGTAGATCACAAGCTCTTGCAGTCCCTTCTTTATCAAACTCACCGCGGAATACCCTAAGCGACTCGCCGGATTATACCACTTCGACCGCCTGTCCAGACTAGCAATGTGACTGTCGCACCTTGATACGTTCACCCGGGTGTAAAGCCACATGTATCCCCTTCCTGTTCTCCGATCCAGATGCCGCACCTCGTCCGATATGTCAATGCCACTGGAAGATTGAGAGCGACCTTCGGTGAAGTACCACTTCCTCGCACTACATCCACTGCATTCATTTAGGTTCTCGTAGTTGTCTGCAAAGGTCGAGTACGTGTTCTACTATATTTATTTCACGCACGCGTACTTGGTCATTTTATCTTCGTGCGTCTAAAACGGCTGGTGGGGTATATCCCACACCAGGACATTCGCAGATTCAGAGGTACATTCGGGGCACTGTGGGTCCTTAGAATAGACTGCATTGTCTAATGTCCTCCATAGATTATACTCTCGATAGGACATTAATCGGACATATACAAGAAAACGTTTAACTCAAAGTGCCGGGCAGATAACATTTAGGTGCACGCATCATGGTCACTGTGAAATTTATGCCCAAACTACCTCACGGTGCGCTTCAGAGAGAATCGATGAATGTACCTTTGCATGAGCTCTTCAACACTATTCTACACAGAATGTCAAATCCATGAGGACATCGGACACTTCATTTATTTGTGTTGCACAAGGAGCAATAAAAAAGGCTCCTATTCTTGTGTTTTGTGCTAAATTCGAGTGCATGAATGATCATTGATATACTCATGCAACTTATCCGTCAGTATTCTTAGAGCACAGTTTAAATTTGTAGTCCCACTGCTCGTTGCCTAACTTAAAATTACGGCATTAAGTATACTGAAGTGCAAAGCTCCGGAATTATGCTCCCAGGCTTGCTCGCCGTATCGTCGCATGCAGCAAGCATTAGAGCTACATTAACCGTATAGGTAGCGATTTGTTGACTTTGAGCCAGATTCCCATGAAAGGGAAACAGTACTTGTCCGAGGCCGGAACCATGGGAGCCATCGAATGATCCGATATTTACCAATGTTACCATGAGGAAAAATCAGGTGACCGCGACTCGGACTCTACTACTTCACAAGCACACGGATGCTAGTATCTTTGAACAACATCTGGTGGCTCTATGGGACTCAGACTATGGCATATGCGCCTGCCGGGCTTATTACTCGGGGTCTTAACGGGGAACACGTAACACCAAAACGCTGCTGGCCCTGGCTGCTAGCTACTAGGTATCATTCATGCAAAGTCATGCGGTCCTGATCTCCCCATCTCCAAACGGCAGTGACTCGCAAGATAAGATATTGGTACCATCATGCTCACACCATTGGCCACGGAAAAGTTACATCACTGTCTTGTTCGTTGTTTTCCATGTGCATCAAACTTCTTTCTTATTCAGAAACAATGGGCCCGGTTGGTTGATTGATAACCCAGGAATCAGTTGCGACTCCACGAATCAATTTTTGTGTCGAGCTGGCAGGTATTCACAAAAGGGTAACAAGTTTTTCAATGCGACTTCACCAAGCCCAGGCGCTCAGGCTATCACTTTTCCCGGAAGTGCTCAGTCTCGACAGTGATGCACCCGGCAATGTGTACTGCGAAGGACCGAAGATGGATTCGTCATATGTGCGTGAGCTTCACCATGTGAGCCAAGCATGCCCTAACCATTGATTGGTCCATGAATAAACTGGTCGAATTGCGCATCCTCATAAGTCCTTCTTACTCACGACCAAAAAAAGGCTACCTGTCCCGCTATGCTGGTTTGAATCCAAGATGTGCGCATACCGAGTCGGTTGTCGAGTGATTCCTGTTTTCGATTTCTTCACGCGTGGAGGCGCGTTCCATACGGTCCAGCCTTCATGCTTGAGATTGACCATATACTCGCCTTTCAGCACCATATCTTCACCTTTACCAGCATCTATATAATGGGTCTCGAAATGTGGTATGATCGTTACCTCCCAGTACAGTTTAATCATGTTCCCAGCTGCATCTCTGTTGACGACTCTCCTCCTGGCCTTGTCCATCGCGGCATCGCCTGTTGAAGTTCGCAATTCCCCTGTCACCCTCCCTATCGCCAGGAGGCTGAACACCTCTGGTGGTGCCATCAACCTCGTGCAGCACGACCAATCTCGCGCAGCCGCCCTCAAAAGTTTCAAGGGAGATAGCACCCTTAGCCGCCGTACTGGTAGCATTACTGTGACAAACGATGCTGTAGGCTACATTGCAGAAGTTGGTGTTGGCAGCCCCGCCACAAACTGTAAGTTCAACACCGCACAAGCTTGCAGCTGCTAATGCATTATTGCAGACTACTTGATTGTCGACACCGGTAGCTCCAACACGTGGGTTGGTGCCGACACTGCGTATGTGAAGACCAGCACCAGTGTCGACACTGGTGAGCCTGTAGAGGTCACCTATGGCTCTGGTTCCTTCTCTGGTATGTCATACAAAAATATCATAAATTGAAAATACCCACGATTATCTACAGGAACTGAGTACACCGACACCGTCACTCTCGGTAGTGGGCTCACCATCACCGCGCAGTCGATCGGTGTTGCTGCTACTTCGACGGGCTTCACCGGTGTCGACGGTATCATCGGCATCGGGCCCCTAATCTTGACAGAGGGCACCCTGACGGATGAGCCGGACACGACGATCCCGACTGTCACTGACAACCTGTACAGCCAAGGCATCATTTCTGAGATAGTCGTCGGTATCTCTTTCGAGCCCACCACTACAGAGTCAGACGCCAACGGAGAGCTCACCTTCGGTGGAGTCGACGCTACCAAGTACACTGGCACCCTCGCATACACGTAAATCTCTGCAGCTCGGAGATGAATTCTAACTGACAGTAATTTATTATTTCAGTCCTCTCACCACCACTGAACCCGCATCCTACTACTGGGGTATCAACGAGAGCATCACTTACGGCACGACGACCATCTTGGCCGAGACGGCCGGTATCGTTGACACTGGCACCACCCTCATCCTCCTCGCCAGCAGTACGTATCTCGAGTGCAGCGAGTAATCATGGTCTAATCAGCGTTCAATAGATGCCTACGACGAGTACAAGTCTGCAACTGGTGCTACTCTGGACCAGACGACTGGTCTTCTCCGCATTACCACCACCCAGTACAGCGCCCTCAAGGACCTGAACTTCGTTGTTGGCAGCGTACGTGATTCTGTCTCAAGTGTTAATTCCATTTGTTCACCATTTGCACAGAACACCTACACTCTCACCCCGAACGCCCAGATCTGGCCTCGTTCGCTCAACACCTACATCGGTGGTACCACCAGCTACATCTACCTCGTTGTCAACAACCTCGGCACGCCCAGTGGCGAGGGTCTCGACTTCATCAACGGCTACACTTTCCTCGAGCGCTTCTACGCCGTGTTCGATACCACGCACTCCCAAGTCGGTTTTGCCACGACCGCATACACGGATGCCACCACCAACTGATGCAATTTTTTTTGTTGGGTATTGGGTATTTGCACGTTACAAAATATCATTTCTCATAACCTTTGTACTCTGGAAGCATTTTAAATAACTGTGGCTGGAGTCGTCGTTGAATGTTCGAATGTAAACTATTACTCTTCCATGAAGAAACCCAGCTCCCCCTCCCCTCAGGCTAGATGGGCAAGCTCATCGGAGTGATTATACGGCACTATACCACTAGTGCTGTACAGTGCCGTACAGCCACTCAGTACTCAGGCCTCAGGGCTCACAGGAAAGTCTGCAAATTAGAGGCCATCTCGGACTTCGATTTTTTGCCCCGTGCTTATATTCGTGCCAAAGAAGCACAAACTATGGAAAGCCTAACAGTCGCACTCAATTTGACACAAATATGGCAACTTCATCCTCGAATACTTGCTACTATGTTTGCTATGGAAAGCCAGACCACCGTGCTCAAGTTTTGCAACTTCGTCTTCTCAGAACCTGCCTATTAAGGCATGTGCTTCCATTGACCTCCGAACACCCCGTATGACCAATCACCTGTACCTGTAGGTTTGATGTATCACTACCTATAATTATAAGTCATTCGTGATACATGAATTGCTCTGGGCTACAGATGGAGTGATACATCACTTTCCTATAGATTACAGGTTCCCTGCTCCTAGTTATATTTCCCGTCCATGTCCGAGTATAGTACTTTCAGTACTCTCATTCGCAGATTGATCTGGCCACGATCGAGATCAAATCTAGACAGGCAGCTCGCTGTTCACAATCAAGATCAAGTCCAAACATGTTCTTAGAGTTTCACAATAATCACATTATTGTACCTGACTATAAAACATGCTCCTGCTATCACTACTCAATGTCCATGGCTGAGGGAGGGACGTCAATAGAAGGACCGTCATTGTCATTAACAAGCATAGAGGCTGTGGGGCCAGAATTTAGTTGAGGAATGAAGCTCCAACGGCCTTCGAATGAGTTTCGCATAGCAGAACGGAGGGCGGCCTGACGGTATGCATATGCCTGCAAGCCCTCTTGCTCGGCAGTCTTCTCCAATGGGTGCAGAGTCGCACGCTGATGCCACCAGTTGCCTTGCCACTCCAGAAAGGTTAATACTTGTCTCATCTCTTCAACCAACAACTCCACTCCCTCGAACCATCGAGCAGCATGTGCACGTGCCTTACACCACTCTATACAAACACCTATGTGAACAGAACTGAGTCAGCTCTGGATCACGTCAACCAGAATCACTCACAGTCTTGAACACGCTCATTCTCAGAGCAACTGGTGTTGCCTTCCATTACAAGCCAGATCCACGAGATTGTCCCGGTTCCCTGAGTGTGGCCGCCTGCAAAATCGCCCATCGGTCGAATGTCCTCAGGTTTGAGAGGGGGAAGCCTTTCCTCCCAGCCCATGATATCCAAACGACGACCCAACAGCTCCAGCGCTCGATGTGCATGCTTATATTTTTCCACCGCTGCATCTTTCTTTATTTCAACGTGTGCAATCAAATTCTGGGCGTGCGTGGATGCTGCTTGGCCCCGTAAGTTCTTGTCCTTGAATTTGTACATATGCGAACGTAGACAAAGATGGGAGCGGAGTTCATTGAGGGAGTCGTGAGCCTGTGCCCACCGAAGCTCCCATTCATGTTTCATCAAACAGCGTTCACAGTCGAATCACCAATCAAGAGCCGAAGGAAGATATAGGGGGAAATCCTGTGGCTTGACTATTGCTTGAGGAGTGTTTGGACTTGGGTCAGCCGACAAACACAGTGTCGAGACAATAGGCATATAAAGTTGTTGATAGCGGGTCCAGGAGTCAATACGTCTTTGTAAGGTGTTGCTCCTGTGAACAATAGCTTCCCTTTGCTTGTCCGTGGGATGAAGTGAGAGGTCAGCAAGGTCGCGTTTGAGCCGTTGTCTGTTATATCATTTGAACAGTGGACATGATCCGAAAGAAGGCACCACATACTGCATATCCTCTAATTCAATCCCACTACTGATAAGCACACTAGGCGAAACATCATCATTGAGTGAGTAGTTGATCCCCGCCTGCAGCTCTTGTGCTTCCGACTCCGCAAGCTGTGATCTTACTGCAGCCTGCATAATAGCTAGATATATTGATGGACAGTGAATGTTTGCAGAACGGATGAATGCAGCTAACTTACAGGCAACTTTGCTTTCAAATGGATTTGGGCTTGTGTTGTCCTCCTCCCATATCTCGATTGCTGATCGCCACTCATCCAGCAGTGCAGGCTGGATAGTGGCTTCTAGGTCCCACAACGCTGCACGATGTTCGCGCTTCCACTTCATGGCTTCTTCCATCTTGCGCTTTAATGTACGACCTGCAAAGTCTGGAGCATCAGTAAGGAAAAAAAGAAAGTTTGATGGTGAAGACATACCAAGAGTCATTGTTTTCTTCCAGTTCCAATCGCCGAAATGATCATCCAAGGTATCACGCCGCTGTCTTACTAGGATGTGAAAACAGTAAAATTCACCAATTTTCAGTATCCTACCACGGTCAACGGTTCAGACAAATACCAACAGTCGATAACGTGGTCGTTCATGGGAAAAAGTGTGTTGAGTTTTCAAAGGAAGTACTCAGTGACTAAAAAGGGGGGAAACAGAATCAGTAACTGGCTTGATGCAGTGCTATGATCCTAAAGAAAGTCAAATAACTGGCACAATGCAGTGCTATGACTTCAACGAATACAGATGTATGTCTTATGCGATGATTCTCAGAGCTATAACAATACTCCCTATCTTCACAAACCAATTGGAGATCAAACTAAGCCTCTAACACGGATCAGCCCGAACTAATACGTGACTTTGAAACCTACTCTCTGCTGCTCAGGCACTACACGATGAGTTTGACGCAGGACAGAACAGAGTACACCCTATTGATGTAGTCTTAAGTGGGCCAAGTTCTTAATATTAGTGACTGACTGTTAGTCTTATTTGTCTTCCCTTGCTAATGAAAATCCGTATATTCTCCCCACAGAATTGATTTCCTGTGTCTGAAAGAGAACTGGAATATATCTGCACTAGATGACTGATAACTGTGTACCAGCTAGTGTAAAATGTATGGCTCAATGGTGGCCTCAAATATGCCTCTGTATGTTGTGGGAAACAGTGTCAAAAAGTGGAATGAAATAAGCTAATATTTCACTCAGTGTGTCACTCAGTAATCTTTGAAGTGAGAATCTAAAAAGAGCCTTATGGTCACTCTTCTTATCTTTCACTCACTCACTCACTCACTCTCAAACTTAGATGATACTTGGAAATGGGCTCTGAGATGGGAGCTCTCTTTATTAAAAGGTAAAATGGGCCCCTTATATACTACTCTACTAGTGGCTGTGCTACTGATTACTAATCTACTACTAAAGTGTCAAAGAATGCCATAGAATGTTCCAGATTATTCTACCAAATTCCAGTATTGCTTTCAAATCAACATTTAGTGGCTGTGCTCTGTGGCTATGCTAACCTGTGCTAGCAAGCTGTGTACACTGCCTCTGCACTGCCTGAATGCTGTACTCCAAAGCTGTGTTCAAACTTTGTTGAAATTCTTGCAGTCTAATGTTAACTTGTTAAATACCACAGTGTTGGTCTTGCATATTTGTCATAATGAAGTCTCTGCATGGTTTCCTAATGTGTCACCAAGTCACATGAGTCCGATTATGTAATGAGATATGAAGTCTTTCAGGTCTTTCCTCTGAGTATTGTGAAAAACGAAAGGCTCACGTAGAAAATTGAAAGGCTCGCGTAAAAGCAAACATGTTCAAGATGTGACACAAAACATACCAATTATGTAATATGATGTCACGATATGTCACAAAGTATGTTCCAGAACATGTGAAAATGTGTGAGAAAATTATAGGAAGTGTGAGAAATTGCTGACTAAGTGAAGAATTGTGCGTTTTGAAACCGATCTTTCATAAGGATAAGTATTATTCTGTATGTTAAGTAGTGATGCACTCATTTTTGAATTCGAAATTACTCAAATAAAATATGGGTGCTACACAGAAAATTCTAGATAGCATCATGGGCTATTATAAAGAGTACTACAGCTAAATATTTGCCATGTTCATGTACAAAACAAGTTTTGTGCATGTCACCGGTCCATTGCAACCGCCTTCCAGTTCTAATCCTCAAGCTACTATTGGCACCCTGGCCTCTGGTTATTCTGAACACCATGCTAGTTATGCATCCGAATGCGAGCGCTGGGCCAAGATCTCGGCTAAGGTTGCATTTGCTGTGCCACCAGCACAGACAATTTCTCTGGAGATTTCAGCTGTACACGAGGGCGGTTGTTATGACTAGGATAGGTCGAGCTCTCTCTAGGCGGAATGCCTAATCAGATAGCGGGCTCGCTATTGGAGAGACGGGTTCACAGCTCGGCGGAATGCTGAGGTTTCCTCCGACAAGCTTGGTAAGCGCGGCGGCTCGTCAAGCTGTAGGGCTAACGGAACTATATGACTAAAGGTAGCGTCGGCTTGCCTTTAGGTGCGACTAAGACTGAAGGACTGGGACTGTCTTTCAGAGGAAGTTCTGGGGAAAACCTAGTAGAATCAAGTACAGAAATACATGATCCTGTCTGCTCTATATACTGTCGTCCGTGTGCACAGACCAATACTACGTTTGGTAGGTAAGTATGAGTGTATCCATACACGGGCATGTTATCAGATGCCATGCGGGCGATTATCTGTGCATGAGGCATTCCATGCCTCTTCTATTAGTCCTCAAGGCTAAACATGCCTTGTAGTCTAACTGCGCATGCTGCGGCATGCGGCTTCTCTTCTGACCATGAAGCAGAGCTTCTCCATGATCCGGGTCGAGGACCATCTAGGTCCGTCCAGACGTTGCCTAGGCTGGTCTAGGTCATCTAACGGCATCCAGGCCGTTCTAGGCGTCTCTACGTGTCTCCGTTGAGTTGGTAAGTCTTCCAAGACGGTGCGTATGGCGGGATAGGGGCTAAGGTCAGGATGACCTCCGTACGAGGGGTTCTCGGTTACATGTTATTGTAACAGCGGTACCCGACGGAAGGGTAGCTGTGGCACTACTATTGGGGTATGTGATCATAGAATTCAATTTATTTACTAGTATTCACTCGCATGACACGCATTCTAGAATATTTGCGAGGGCATGAAAGATATTGATGCTCGGATTGACGCACCTGGACTTATAGTGATCGCTCTCGACACCATCCTGCCAAAGATTGTGGCCTTTTGCTCTGGGTTTAATTGGTGCGATGATGAATTTGTTGTCCGGGATGCGCGATGGGTAGATCTCTCAAACCACCCAGCTGGAGAACCTTACTTTCTCTCGCAGTGCTTGCAAGCAGGTCGCAAAGATTCAAAGACAATGGTATTCAAGACAAAACAATTTTCATTAATGGTAGTTGCGCCTCAATCACGGTGGTTAGAATACGAAGACTGGGTGGAACAACTTGCGGAGGATGTAAGCCTACTAATGTTTCCCTTGTCATTGCTAGAGACTTATTGTCATCATTTTAGGGTGGTAACACCCATGTAGTTCAAAGCACAGGGGTTGAGGATCATGAATATTTGCAACCCACAGCTCACCAGGTGAAATCTAGTCTCATCACTCCGGAGCATGACTAACCAATGTTTCTAGGCTACTATTGATCGCGTGCTCATTCGACCAGCGCGGAACACCACTATGTCAACAGGCATCGAAGAGGCTACTACTAGTCGTGCACTCATGCAACCAGCACAGCATACCACTGCACAATCCATGCTGGCAACTCAGACTCGCATGGCAGTACCAGCCACATCTAAGCGGATTCATGTGCGAACAGAAAGCAGTAGTAGAGCTTTGCCTCCATCTCCTCCACGCAAGAAGATTGCCCCCACAGATGTTATGCTCTGCTCACCTGACCGTGACAATTTGAAAGCGGCCCTTAGATCTGGCAGTGCTGCGAATCTTAATGTAAAGAACGGTGAGAATAGTAGCTAACATCTTGCTTTGAGTTGTGGACTAATGGCATATGTAGTATTCGAAAAACAGAATGAGACCATCCATTTCTACCCTATCCCTAAACATCCTTTAACGGAGATCTTACAAAACGAAGATTACCGCTCATTTAAAGTTGATGCCACAGAATCCTGGGTGGGCCAATTGACGGTCAATGTATCTCGCAATAACATGATTGGGATGGGCGGGTTCAAGACGGCCCACCAAGGATGGCTCACACTTACTCCCCCTCCGGTTTCTGGGTTCAGTTCGGTTGCCCGCCAAGAAATCGTAGTCAAACGCCCGTTTGAACAAGTATACCCGCATGGTGTATCAACTGGACCTTTCAAGATCGGTAGATTTTCTGTGGCCAACGAACTGCCTAAGCTCTTTAAAGAAGCAAATGTACTGTACTGGGTGAGTTCTCTTTTGCAACTCACCTATGATTTCATCAATCGCCGCCTTGCTTCCTCTTGTCCTCCACCATTTGCCATTCCTCGAGTACGCTTTGTCGAGGCTGGCCTGGCATTGGCATTTGTCCAAGGCCCAGCAGTGGCTTCCAAGCCAGCCTCGAAGACATGCCCTATTCGCGCATGTTATCTCCTGGAAGAACTCATTGTTGGCGGCGACAATGTGTTTCTCAAGTTTATCCATAACATGGATGCTAACCCTTTGCTCGATGAACTTGATTACGGCTATGATTTAGCAGTATTCTTCTCATTCACTCAACACGTTCAATATGTGAAGACCAGTGGTTTAGCATTTATCTCTGACTACCAAGGTGTGTTAGTTCTTACTATGTGACTGATGACAAGCTCGGTTCAAACCAATCAATTTCTTTCAGGAAGCACTGAACTACTGACCGACCCTCAAATATTGACGGACCCGTATGTATATTCTTAAGTTCTTTCTACTCCGGCTGTCACTGATGCACTACTATAATGATGGTCAGCTCCGTTAGCGGAGGGCAGGATATTTTTGGTGACGGCAACATAGAGCTTGCGGTGACAATGTTCGAGGCGCAGCATATATGCAATGACTACTGCGAATGGGCTGGTTTGGAGAAGTATGAGACAGTCGAAGCTCAGGACTCTTAAGTAGCAAACACAATGCTCTTGTATTCATGTAACTTTACTCTTGACACGGACTTGAGAATGATGTACAACATATACAGTGATGATTTCCTTCGCACTACATGCCGTGACAATCAACAATTAATAAATATTTCTATTGGTCATACGGGGTGTTCGGAGGTCAATGGAAGCACATGCCTTAATAGGCAGGTTCTGAGAAGACGAAGTTGCAAAACTTGAGCACGGTGGTCTGGCTTTCCATAGTTTGCGTACCATTGTGACTCCGCCGGCGCTTGATTCGATAACATTTCCATTCAACCTGTCCCAGAATCTCTCAAATGAACATTTGGAAGTGCGAAAACGAGCGCCATCAATGCGGGAAGATCATAGAACATGATGCCGCCATCCCTAGGTGCAGAGCGCAAGACAACATACTTGACATGACATCGGATTATCAAAAACGCTGAGTATGGCACAAACCTGTGGTGAAGCTAACCAAAGTTGAAGACAATCCTAGGAGCAACGTCAAGGCCGCTACGACCTATGCGCGACCCCGGAACTGCATCCGGGACGGAAAGATGGTCGACTCTGCATCTTCTGCTGAACCTTATATCGCAATTAGTTACGTATGGGACACCCGTCCTTCTTTCAAAGAATGGGAAGGCAGGCGGGTCACAGAGCAAGCATTACACATCGCCGACCGATTCTCGAAACACACCTCATATGCTCTGTGGATCGATGCAATCTGCATTGACCAGGACAACGAACCAGTAAAGATGGTTGAGCTTGTGAAGATGGCGGATATATACCGCGGGGCCCCAGCGGTGTTATTCCTTGTACCGGAGATAGACCAAACGACAAGCAGAGTCGTAGAGCATGGAACCGGAATGATAGATTTAGATGTGTTCCATGCACTTGAACATGCTGGAGACACGCACGGGATGTACGTGTTCGCTGCACATGCTATTCAGCAGCAGGTGGTGGACGCGTGTCTGGACGTTCCAAGAGGCAGTTCTTAACCGCATAGCGTTTTTGGTGGGAGAGAAAGAGGAAACTATTCCCATTTTTCAACGTCCTCAAAATCTCTCACCCGATTAGTCGACGGGCAGTGACACCGAAGAAAGACAACTTGCTGGGGCAATTATCCAGTTTTCGGGACTCGGTTCATTCCATGTCGAACGCAATGAAGGTATCCATGCCGCTCGGGACAGCTGTATCGAGCGCGTGGAGGCGCCAATCTGCCGTCATTCATGACATGGCGTACTCTCTGCTTGGTGTGTGTCATCTAGAGACAATCACACCTAACTATCGGCTTCCAGTGGAGAAAGTGTTCGCTGACCTTGTGGACAAAGCCAGCTTGAAGGGGGACTTTTCCTGGCTGAGATGGAGCCACTTAGTCGACAGAGACGGCACATGTGAAGGAATGTCCATGGTGCCCGTACCTGCAACTGTGTTAGCAACCCCTGCCAGTGCTATCACGGAGTGGCGTTTTGTAGAAGTTCCTGAGATGTCAGTTGTCCGTGGATGAGCTGTTGGTGTTTGCATTCTGCATCGGTCGACTGGCGTCATAAGATGGCAATCACAACCGGAAGACATCAAGGGAATTATCAAAATGCTCCAAAAGCTGTCATACGGCTCCGAAAACATATGGAACTTGTTATTTGGCCTGCACGTCGGATTAGCGTGCGATGTCGATAGAGCCGTGGGAGGATCTGGGCTGCAGAATGTCAGGGATTTGGCCAGTCTGGGAGAAAGTACGGGAGAAAGTATGGGAGAAAGTATGGGACATCGGCACCTCTGAGCGGAATTTAAACTCCGTTCAATGTTTCAAACGACCATGTCAATCAATCCCGCCAACGCGCCCGCCGCCGCCTAACATCTCACAATGCTGCACATGCATGTTCAAACGTTCATGCTCCGCCACAACTCTGCCCACCACTCTCCTTGCTCACCCATCTCCTTACCCGCCCCTCTCCCTGCCCGCTCCTTTTTGAAACATTCATACTCCGCTTGAAGGTGCCGATGTTAGAACTTAGTACATCCCAAGAACTGAATCAATATATGACATAGCAATGAGCTCACTGTGTTGCTGTATGGCAGCAAAAAGACTCGCAACGTTCATGGAAGTAAGTCCTTGGTACTATTACAGACATGAAGGAAGCGTGAGCGGAAGTCGGTACCCTTGGCGCTGTTGCAGACAGTGAGCAAGTGTGAGAAACAGTGACGGATACAGAAACATTCATACTCCACTTGGAGGTGCCGATGGGCTTGCCGATGTCCCAGACCGGCCATTTCAGAGACGCCCTCCTGGGCTGGCTCAGGCATTGCTCAACCTGACGACTGGATACATCGACGGCACATTCAAATTGGAGGACTCGGAGGATGATTTGGTAAGCCACATACCACTGCATACCAACGACATTGATTACCCTTTGAATTGTCTTTGCGAACCTGCCATTCGGCAGGTTCGGAACACAGTGATTACACATAGCGATCCATACAGGCTGGATGAAGGGTGTCGTAGGAGGAACAGATGACATGAACACTATCATGATGGTATCTTTGACAGCGTGATGATACAGAGAGCTGATTTGAAGAGGAGAGCGTGTTGAAGGTAAGCATTTACTATAGTTGTACACTACATGAAATCCATCAGTATCAATCCACCATGCAGCAAAGACCAACATCAGGGAATCGGCGAGAACTAGGTTTTTGTAGCTATAAATGGTAAGTTCGGACCAAAAATCTACTGTATTATATCCGATGGCAAACAAATATATACACAAAGCATAGTGCTATCCAAGGACAAGCAAGTACAATACAGGCTTAACTCTGACGAACTAATATATGTTTCATAATGCCTCATAATTGTGAGGCCTGATAGATAAACTTTTTCAAGAAGTCCTGCATCTCGCTGACCCTGTGATCATCTGTTGCATAGTGTTGACTTTGTTATGGCCGTTTGCAATTTCAACGACATGGCAATCATGAATTACAAGACCAGTGTAACCCTGATGAACTAATATATGTTTCATAATGCCTCATAATTGTGAGGCCTGATAGATAAACTTTTGCAAGAAGTCCTGCATCTCGCTGACCCTGTGATCATCTGTTGCATAATGTTGACTTTGTTATGGCCGTTTGCAATTTCAACGACATGGCAATCATGAATTACAAGACCAGTGTAATACTGATCCAGAGTGGTCATTACTCATAGTTGTGAGGGTTCCAGGGCAATGTCTTGTCACGCGCTAGCAGTTTTCTATTGCAACGGTCATCCACTGCCTATGCGGAACTTTGTGATGGTTCTTTGCGCTGAGAGCCCGTTAGTAATCACAAGTTGCAAAACTGACGTCACGTTGACACTAAACGATCTTTCCTCGTAGTTGTGATATCTCTATAGTAATGTCTTAGAAATACACTGGCTGTTATCAACGACAATGATCTTCGGTCACCCGCGTGTGTGGTACAGCAAGCATAAACATTTCAGATCTTACGGGCGCGTGTTCTCGCGCGTCAGTAACAAAAAAAGTAAGCCTGCCGCTCAGTGTCAACTTTGCTGACACAAAAGATTGACATTATACTTGCATTATACCACATATATTCTCAAAAACTCGCAAATTAACAGTAGATTGAAGCAGAGCTGAAATTTATATCATAACATAAGAACAGAGGCAATAATCAGATCCGTGTACTTTATTATGGCTATGTATCACTTCATATGTTTTGCAGGTTCCACCAGACACAACTGATCGAAACCCACATTTATGGTAACAGTCGCACTAATCCTAAGGTCAACAGCCTTTTTCTTGGTCCAACAATTCACAATAGTCCCTAGAGCTCCACGATGAACCCCACCCAGAACAAGACACTGTTGATTTTTTTTCCGTGGATGAGCCGGGCTCAGATCGCTGGCGGGGATGTGATAATGTTCGATTGCAGCGCCTGCGCTATTGGATGTGCAGAATACGGCGACGTGACCCTCAGGTGCGGGTCCATTCTCACCGCAGAATGGGTCGGGACAAGCCGTCGATACAAACCGTTTGTATAGCCTACCGTGGAGGAAGTTTGGCGACACCTTCAACAGTACATGGTGTGTGAAGAATTTCGATGAAAATTCTTTCGACATCAACCACGGCAGTGGGCCTGGGATGAAATAAATAGACATTGTGAATGGTGAGGTTGAGGACTTACCACTGTCCGGGGAGTTCTCCGCTTCGGTGTCCTGGGCATCGACGGCCCAGGGGTCATGTGTTGACGAGGTGGGATTGACACTCGACGTAGAGTCATATATCTTATCAACCTCAGAGCTCGCGGACCAGTTAGACCATTCATTGGATGGTGATGGACTGGGACCTGCGAGAGAGACCAACGAGCTGGAAGGATTTTTTTCTTGTTCGACGGGTGGGGTAGTGGATCGAGGCGGCGGTGCCAAGTATGATCGCCTCCTCATTTCACAGAATGAGGCTAACTCTGGGCCTTCGAGCATCGCACCGTTGAGTCTCATTCCATACCTTAATATCGTGAGCTTCAGAACAACTCAAAATAAGCGTGTCACTCACCTGGTGGCGACTTCATTAAGTTTGAGTTTAATCCGCTGCTGCCCATGCACAGCAACGGTGCAGGTCTCAAAGGAAAGAGAGTAAAGCGTGGCTCGATAGCCTTTCCGATTGCCGCTAATAACGAAAACTTCATGGCCGATATCATTCCGGAACAAATCCAAGAAGGCGTTGCGTATCTTGGTCACAAATCTGATTGGGACGCAGAGCTGTTGCATGCGTTAGACGTGTTCGAGACGAGGTGAATTGTACTTACAAGCGATTGGTCACCACTACATAGTATGGTCAAACTAGCGTTTGGAATATCAACGCTGTGCACAACCCCTTTCGCCTGATACTCCGGTCCACGGGCAACAGTCACAACGTCTCCAGGCCTCACATCATAACCCTTGTCCTTTGTGTACTGAATAGTGTGGGTGAGGCTCGTTCGTTGAACCGTTGTTACTGGAACTGAAATAATGCCGAGTCCGGAGCTGGACTCTCTGCTATCTTCCGTGAGGATATCCCGGAACCACAGATTAGTCGATCCCTTGCAATACCAGTCCACAACGCCGCGTTTCCCCATGTGCTTGCCATTCAGCACTTCTATGTGGTCCCCAATCTCGATGGAGTCGGACTCGGGGGGAGGCTCGAGATATTGATGCATTGGTAGCTGCGGGTGCATGATGTGATCCAAGGGACGCCGATCCAAGTAGTACTTAGAAACTTCCACCTATATTCAAATGTCAGACAATTTCGCAGTTTTGTGATTGTGCGAGACTCACCTGCTCGTTGGTGATATTTTGACAGATGTCAACTGTTTCCTCCCGCATTTGAATGATGTGCCCTTCTAATCCCAAATACGGACCAGCTACAACTTTGACGGTGTCGCCGACCCGAAATACTCGTTCGATGCCTTCGAAACGAACCTCTATTTGTTCTGGACATCCATCAAACGCAAAATCCAGGCTCGCGGAACCAACTGTATGGTCCGTCGAGATAACCTGACCTGACTCTCCACGGAGAGGGCCTTCAATGACCCTGGCCCAGTCGCCCATGCGCAAAAATTGCATCGAAAACAAGACCACGGTGTTCTTCAGAAACGGTTTGTCCCATCCGGATTCGAGATGGAGTCGAATGTCGTCGATGTGAGGGGAGGCAAGAAGTTCGAGGTTATCGCGGTGGAAGTCTTTCAGTAAGAGACCCATGTAGTAGCTTTGTTCTTCGTATATCCATCCTACTACTTTGCCATCACGAATGATGTCAGAAACAGCCTTATTGGTCGGAAGACGAGATCGATCGAGCAGCGCTCGAGTTCCCCGAGGCATTGAATAGGGGAAGCGCAATGGAGGAACCAAGACCTTGACGGAACTCTCTGTCTGGCACTCTACTTTGCCTATGTAGCCCCTGTGTGGGCCGTGCCTGATCCTCACCCAAGCAGGGGCAAGAGATCGGAACAGTGAACCTTCGACGGCTTCACGTTCTGCCTCCGTGATGCGAAGACATTGCTTCACGGCGAGACTGTGTGAGGTAGGCAGTGCTTCACAGATCGTTTTGGGGCTATCTGCGACTACATAAAGTTGCCCTGCTACCCAAGTCGATAAGGTAACGGAAAACTTTTGGCTCCGAAGGTGTTCGGCAATGTATTCTGTAGCAGTTCCTGTGATACAATGAGCGGTATGCTAAGTGATGCAAAATAAACATACTTTGAATGTCAAGCAAATACATCTTGTTTTCGGGTGCCAAAACGTTAGTTAAGGATGATGGGATCGAGGCCGCTTTGGAAGTGAGAGCACGGCGACCTTGCGACGAGTGACTAGAATTCTCTTCGAACTTACTGGCCAAGTCATCGAATCTTTTGGCCAACCTCTCTTTCGCCGATGGTCCTGATACGTGTATAGCTATCTGCGACCGTTCAAAGTCACCACCTTCGTCATCCTCGTCCTCGTCTTCAGAAGCTTCGATGACGATATATGGATTGTGAATAGACTGTGTTTCCTCTTTAGTATATACCATTCTCAGCAATGGTATTTCACTTACTTTAGGCACACGGGATCGCTTTCTGCGTGAACTTGACAAGCAGCCGTCTGTCCTCGATGTAGACATGGATACGGAAGTGTCATTTGATGTAGGAGAGGGGGGATCAGGGGGCACGTGCATGGCCATAAGTCGGTCGAGGTTGGCCAAGGATTCGGCGTCGTCTCCTTCACCAGAGAACAACACACGTCGGGGTTCCACCCAGTCGTCGGCGAAGTATCTATCGCCCAGGTACGATGTGAGGGCATCATCCATTTCAGGCATCGTCATATCTGTGGTGAGGAATTGCCGAAGGACTCCCCATGCATATTTATCGCATAGTGCCGGTGATGTCTGATTGCCTGTAACATATCCTTGATCAAACAACGATACTGACAACATTGTATCATCGCTTACCTTCTTCGATCCTGAGTCGCTTCGAGGCAGATTCGTCATCATTGCATCGGGCGCGTTTGGTCATGTATTACTATGTCTATGGTGTATATGTTAACCTAGGAGATCATAGTACAGCAGCGAACTTGAAACCTCACATGTCACGTTCAATTGTCAGTTGGATAGTTTATGTTCTCTGAAGCTATCAATGCACTGTCACGGTATCGAGGTAATGGTAGGAAAAAGAGAAACTGTTAATGCGCGAAGTCAGTATTTGTAGTGAATCACTATTCTGGATTAGCTAATACTCACTGGTAGTGTAGATTGTGGACAATATTGATTGTCATGCCAGATATAGCGGTGCGCATAGTGGGCATTGCGGATTTCAAGTTGTGGACTGTGTCAAGTACATCGTCCTCTCGTCCGCCCACAACAAAGGCGATAATTGATATAAGCGATTGAACTTCATATTGCTTGCCCGCCCCATGGACTTGTAACTTGAAGTAATGATGTATCTACTACATAAATGTTTGCACTACGCCCAAGCTGCTGCCAGGCCTACTACTAGGTTATTGTAAGACTAACGCTCGTAGTACTGTTCGACGAGTTGACCTTCACACTAAATATAGAGAACCACATTATGTAATGTAAATCTACTTATGTCGAAACATATGTTACCCGTAGCCGTTGTATACTGTATACGAGGGGGGGGGGAATCGGAAAAGAGACTGATACCAAAAGACATGTGGTTGATATACTGAATGATTAGTGCACCATTCAGACCCAGCCGGCAATGCCCGACGTGAAGCTCGCTGAAGTCCGGCTGAGTTTCAATATATAGGCATTCACTTATCAATGCGCCCTTCCCATCTGCTGAACCTTTTGGTTTCTGTTATCTTTACGTCCCCTTATTGGTTAGAATCCTTCGGGTTTCTGTCAACACTTGACCAGGTGGAGGGTGATATTAATTTTGATGGCCAGCCAGATCTATCGACCCGCCAGCCAGATCTTTTGATGGCCAGCCGTCAAAATGTATTATTAAAGTTCTTCCGGCATTCCCCGCCTTGGAATTCTAT